AAATTCTGAATAAAAAATTATAATAACAAAAAAAAAAATATTTTCACCCCTTTTTCTTATTTAAATTTTAATTTTAATTTCATTTTTTTTTATCAAAAATATTAAAAAAAAAATCAGTTTATTTTGAAATGAACGAAAAAGATGTTTTGAATGAAGAATATAACATATTACAATCACATTATTTTAATTGTATTTATTCCAATTATTTTGCATTTGCAAATCGATTTAGTTGTGATTTAACATTATGTAAAACAGTAGGAGAACATTTACGTGGTAATTTACAAGATCAATATTCCAATATAATAGTGGAAGTTCTAACATTAACCGATAGAATTCTTCCATTTATATCGATGTTAATACAATGGGAAATTCTTCATACAAATAATAAAGAAAATTTATTAAGAGGAAATAATTTATGTACAAAAGTAGTAACATATTATCTTAAAAGAACATTAAGAGGATTTGCAAGAAAAGTATTAACACCACATATTACAGAAATTATTGAAACTAATAAATCATATGAAATTGATAAAATAACATTAGGAAATACAATTGATCAAAGTATTATTAAAGAAAATCAAAATAATTTAAAATGTATTAGTATTAAAATTATTGATTCATTAGTTCAAAATGTTCATCAATTTCCAAAAGAAGCAAATACTATTTGTAATCTTATTTGGACTTCTTTACAAGGAAAATATCCTGAAGATGCTAAATTACCTTCTCAATTAGTTGGAGGTATTCTTTTTTTAAGAGTATTATGTTCATTTATTGCTACTCCTGATACAAATAATTTATTACTTCCAGGAACTAAATTAACACCTTCTTCTAGAAGAAAATTAATTTTAGTCTCAAAAACTCTTCAAGCTATTTCAAATGTTTCAACAAATTCATTCGATTCAGTTTTAGAACAAATGAAAGAAGTTCTTATTCAACAAATTCCACGTCTTCATGAATTATATAGAATTGTATCTCTTGACTCTACAATATTACCAATAAATGATTTAGTATCAAAAGATATTCCATTACGTCAATGCGATATTAATATATTTTTCTCTTTACATTATTTATTTAATCAAGCAAAAGAAAATCATTTAACTTCAAATCAAAATAGAACAGAATTAAGACTTTCTTTAAATCCAAAATATTCAAATTCTATGGTACAAATTGATTGTAATCAAATTAAAGAAGAAGACTCTAAAATTTCTCCTTCTTCAGTTAGAAAAAGAGTTTTTCCTTTAAAAACTCCTCAAAGAATTGAAAAATCAAATGACCTTTTTTCTTTAGACGTAAAACCAATTAAAAAGAAAGAAAATCTTTGTAAAATAGAAAATACTGAAGAAAAATCTAATGAAAATCAACTAAATGATTTACCTCCTTTCCTTCTTCAAAAACCTTCATCTCCAAAACTTTTACAAGAACCTTCAAAAAGAAGAAGTTATAGAAGATCATTGTATGGAGGAACAATTGATATAGATTCTTCTTATAAAGATTTATCAAATTTAATTGGACCAACTCCATTTGAACCAATAAAATCATTTAAAAAAATTGTTGAATGGGAAATACCAGAAATTGATGAAGATATTCAAAGTTTATTAGTTGAAGAAAAAATATTTTATATTGGAGGAATTAGTGATAAACAATTACCAATTATTTATTTAAATATTAAACGTCTTTGTGATACATTACAAATTGGTTCAAATGTATCTAATTGGGATAAAATCATTCAAATTGCAATGGAGAAAACAAAAATGTTTGAATTTGTTATTGATTGTAGTTGGTTTTCATTAAATTCTAATTCAAATGAATATTGGAATAAAATAATTAAAACAATACATTATATATTATCACAACCTGAAATTAAACAAAATATTTCTGTTTATTTACTTCATCCAACAAAACTAGTTATTAATTCATTTCAATCTTTATTTAAAGAAGAAAATATTCAAATTATTGACAATTATAATATTTTAGAATTAAAATGGGGAGAATCAAATACTTTAATCCCTGAAGACAGTAAAAATTTTGTTAAAACAAATCAAATTCAAATTTATAAAGAACAAAAAGGAAAAATGAATGAAGAACAATTAGTAATGAGTTTAGTTGAAATTATGAGTATTAAAAAAAATAAAATTCAATGGGAATTAGAATATAAAGATATTGATAAAATTATGTTATATGAACAAAAAATGATGAGTTATGCTATTATTCGTAGTTTTACTGAAGGAAAATTAAATACTATTCAAATTAAATTTGATACTATTACTACTAAAGATGAATTTATTAAAAAATTATATGAATCTTGTTTTTATCGTTCTATGTTAGATAATAATTGTTTAATCGTTTATGCTGAAAATATTTGTATTAAAAAAGGTAAAAAAGTTATTGGAAATAGTTGTATTCTTATGATTTGTTTAGATAGTTTTATTGTTAAAAAAGGTAATGAAATTGAATTGTCTATTGGATTTGCTGCTATAGAAAGAGTAAGTGTATTACCATATAATGATTTAATTTCTAAAATTCAAATTTGTTATAAAGATGTAAAAGATCCATTATTAAATAGTACTATTAAAGAATGGTTAATTGAAAAGAAAAATGAACAAATTAGAGAGAAATTAAATTATATGATTGAAAAATTTAATGAAACAAAAAATCAAATGTAATTGATTTTCTTTTATTGTTTATTTATTATTTCATTTTCTTTTTTATCTTTTTTCTTAATACATTTTAATTGCAATAATTCTTTCTGGAATAAAGTCATATGTAGATGTTAATGGATGTTTATCTCCATTATATTCATATGAAAATGGTTCACAAGAACTTCTCCCTATACCTTGTGTTTTTGCAATTTGTATATCAACCCCTTCACCAAATGTAATTAAAAAATCATTTTCCGCATTATATAAACAATATGATTCACCAATTTTATTTCCTTTAAAAGGAAATTTTAATTTTTGATATCTTTTATTTTTATATAATGAAAAGACAAATGCTTTAGGATCATTAGTTTCAATATTAACTTCTTTTATTCTATGAGAAATAAATCCTCCAAAAATATCTTGATTAGTTGCAATCACTATGATAAATAAATGTGACTTTTTCATGACTTTTCTTGAAAAAATTTCATTTCCTATTTCAAACCCTTCAATATCTGAATCAAAAAGTATTTCCATTCGTTTTCTTTCACTCCATTCTTCTAATGTCTTAATAATTTCTTTTTGTTTTAATTCATCATCTGAAAATGGGTAAATGGTTTGTTCTTCTTTATCACATAATTTATTTGTTGAAGAACTTTCATTAATGCTTAATGTCTTAGAAAATGTTTTACTAATAAAAGGTAATATTGGAATATGTGTATTTGAATATTCTTTCTTTACTACTTTTTGACATTGTTGTTCAAAGATATTCTCTATAATCTGAAAAATTACTTTATATTCATTATCCTCTAATGAAGTGATTCTTTGTTTTAATTCAGAAAGAAGTGTTGAAGAAATTTCCATTTTAATTTAATTAAGTTCTTTTATGTTTTTTATTCCTTTTTTTGTTTTTTATATTTCTTAAAAAATGATCCAAAAATGAATCGAATATTAGAAGTATCTTTTTTGTGCTATTTTTTTTTGGCTGTTTTAGTTTTATTGTCTGGACCGTTAGTTTTTGCCTTAGTTATACTTGTTTGAGTTATTTTTGTTGTTGACCAGACTCTCAGTTTTGTTTAATTATTTTTATTTTTAGTTTTTACAAGTGAGTTGACTACTATTAAGAGAAGCATGACCAATCTAACATATTGCACCATGACTATTTTCTAATATTGGACATAATAAACCGCTCTTGGAATGTAAATTTATAATATATATGAAACCATATCGCTGCCAATAAATAAACGACCAATTAATCTCTACAAAATACAGTTATTCAACTAAAAATTAGACAATAAAATAGAGTTATGAAAGATAAGATTAGGAAAATGAAAGAATAAAGAAGAGACAAAACAAAACATAAGAAGAAGGTAAAGAAAATAAAAAATGAAATATTATTTGAACATTAGTCAATTTCTCTTATTCATTTTATCCTTTTTCTTCTAAATTACAATAAAACTAATATCTAGTCTATATAACTCATATTCATTTTTGTTTCTTTAGAGAATTAAGTTATTAGAATAGACTTTATTGAAACTTATAGACTTAAAAATATCTTTAAAGAATCTTTAAAACAACTAAGATGGGAAATACTAATACACAACCTCTTCATGAAACAAAAGATGTTGAAGATATGTCTATTATTAAAGAAAAAGTAAACCCGCAAGTTGATATTCAAGAACAACAAATAACAAAGAATATAACTTATAAAGAAATAGAGTATCCAACTAAAAGTTGCAATGTAGTAGTTAACAATCCATATAAACGATGGTCATGTTTATTTCATTCATTCAATGAATCTGATGAACAAGAAAAACATTATACTGAACAAGGATTTGTATCAGAAAAAATGAATTATAAAGACTGTCCGAATATGAATAATTTTATTGATCATTCAGTTAAAAAATATTATGTAAAAAAGAGAGTAGATACTAAAAAAATTAGTAACAGAACCAAATCTGGACCTTCATCAAGATTTTCTCCATTCTTAGTTCCTATATTACCTAAACCTGCTTCAATAAAAGAAATACATAAAGTCAATAAATTAAAGAAATGGACTAATTTATCATATTTTAGAATGGTGTATTTTAGTGGTATAGATGAGTTATCAACAAGAGGATTTTTAAGTAAAGTCTGTGGATTAAATAATCTATTAATAATTGTTACAACTCCATCAAACGAATGTTTTGGAGTTTTCAATGGTTCAACATTACCAGCTCAAATTACTAGTTTGACATATATTGAAAGTGATTTTTTCTTTTTTTTTATCTTCACCAATAATGGTGAAACATTTAAATTTAAAAGAAAAGCAACAAGTCAAACTAAACGTAGTCTTACATTATATCCATCAACTGAACAAGAATTTATATTTTGTGCTTTTTGTTCATTTTGGATTACAAATAAAGGAAGAATAGGAATTCATCCTTTAATGAGAGATCAATTTGATTTAAGCTCTGTTGTAAACCCACTTGGAGGGATAAATAAAACTATTAAAGAATTAATTGTAGTTCATTGTTATTAATTCTTTATAGTCTTTTTGAATTATTTGTTTGAACTATGAAGAAACAAAAATAGAATTAGATGGTCTAAAAAAAAATTTTAATCAATTATTTAACCATTTTTTAGCTTCTTCATTAACAAAAAGTTTTAAGAATGATATTCTTTTAAATGAACATATACATTTACTCCATTGAATATCATCTTTTTTAATATGTGCAATTTGATTGATCATTTCACTTGTAATATTTTCACTTGCAAGAATTTTAAATTTATCAATACCAATATAATTTAAATATTTATTTCTTTCTTCTTCATTTAAATCTTTCCAATTTCTTTCAAAACAATCAAAATTAGATGGAATTTCTTTTGGACATTTTATAGAAGTTTTTATTTCCTGAACATCTTTATTTAATTTATCTTCTTTATTAATTAATGTTTCAATTGTGACCAATGCATTTGTAGCTTCTTTATTTCCTTTTTCTAATTCAAGAACATAAAGATAATCTTTTTTAGCTTCAAAATATTTTTTAAAATGCATAGAAATTAATGCTCTTCTAAGTAATGCTTTTACATATAATGGATTACATTGTAATGCCAAATCAATATCTTTTTGTGCTTCTTCATACTCTTCTAATTTAATTTCTACAAGTGAACGATTTCCATAATAAATAGACTCTCTTGGATTTTCTTTTATTGCCATTGTGTATTGTTCTTTTGCTTCTTTATAACGTTTTTGTTGAAGAAATTCATTTCCCTTTAATTTATATTCTTCTCCTTTACAACCCATTAATTTTATTTTTTATTTTTTATAGTTTTATTTATTATTATTTTAATTATTAATTCTTTTATTATAAATTTTTATTAAAATAAAAAAAAAAACATTCTTAAAATAACAAAAAATAATTCTATTAATTTAATTTGTCCATCTTCTTATACAATTCAGTTATTGCTTCAATACATTTTTGTTCATCTTTAACACAATTTAATGGGAAATATTCGCATGAATGTTTTTTACAAAATTCATCAATCATTTCTTTTTTAACTGAAGGTTGCTTATCTTCATGAAGATTACCAACAAGAATTACTGGTGCATCAAATCCCATTACTGCACGATCAAAACATTCATAATATTCTTCTAAATCAGCAAATGAAGGACCAATTGTTGTATCAAAAAATAATATAATACCATCTGAATCTTTAACATCATATTCTATCATTCCACGATATTCTTGATTACCAGGACTGTCTAATATTTTTAATTTATATGTTTTACTTCCCATAATAAGGTCATAAAGATACTCTTCATCTAACGTTGAAATATGAAATTGGTCATGTTTTTGGTGAAGTAATGTTTTAATGAATGCAGTTTTTCCAGTTTCTCCATCACCACAACAAGTAATTGTTAAAGTTCTTTGAAACATTTTAATTATATTATCTTAGTTCTACAGGGTTTTTAAATAATCTTTTCTTTATATTGACGTTTGTACCACGTCAATTGAAAAATAACAGAATGTCTAATGAATAAATTAAAGATAAAATCAAATTCAGGGTTCATTGTTTATTTCAATTGTTTTTCTTTTGCCTCCTTTTTAATATTTCTTTTGATTTGTTTTTTTAGTTTACGTTCTTGTTTTTTCTCTTTACGGGTCTTTTTCTTTTCTATTTTTCGTGGTTTAGTCTCTTCTACTTTCTTTTCTATTTTTTGTGATTTACTTTCTTCTACTTTCTTTTCTATGTTATGTTGTTTTTGGTGATTTAATGCTTTTTTCATTTCCTTTGATTTAGTCAAATGATTAAAAAATCCCATTAACTCACTCCTAATTTGTTGTTCTTCTTCATCTCCTAAGTCATCTTCCTCTAAACTTTCTGCTTCCAATTCTTGGTCTTCTTCTTCCATATCATCATCTTCCTCATTTTCATTTTGTTCTTCTTCTTTATTATTATCATTTTCATCACTTTCCATTGTTTGATCCTTTTCTGATGACTCATCCATTTCATCATAATTCATTTCTCCTTCTTCAAGGGAACTTTCTGCATCTTTATCTTCAGTCTCTTTATTTTTTTTTACTTTGACAACAAGTTTATTTGTTTTTTCCGCTTTTTTTTCTTTTTTTTCTTCTGTGGCATGTTTCTTATTAAAATAAGCAGCAAATATACCTTTTCTATCAGACATAATCAATTAATTTATTCTAAGATATAAGAAAAGAAAAAATTATATGAATTTAAATTGTATAAATTGTTTTATTAATTTTTTTTGCTAAAGAAATAATATTAATAAAAAACATTATGTGAACTAGAAAAAGAAATAAAATGAACCGAAGGTTGTTTGTTGGAAACTTAGAATATCAAATTAAAAACTTTGAACTGAAAGAGTTTTTTGAAAGGTTTGGAAAGGTGGTTGATGTTGTAATCATGGAAAGGTATGATGGTGCTTCAAAAGGATTTGGGTATGTTGAATTTGATACAGAAGAGTCAGCTCAAAAAGCACTTAGAGAAGGTAATAACGAGATGTTAAGAGGTAGAAACATTCGTGTGGACATGGCTACTGAAAGAAAGCAACATGAACACAAGGAACGGTCAAGAAGTCGAGAGAGAAACCAACACATTTTCAAGACTGGTGTTCCATTTTCGTTTCGGGATACTTTTTCAAGAGTAAAAGACTTTCCAGTAAGAAGAGACTTTGACTACTCTAGAAGTTATGAATTCTATAATAAAGACCCACAAAGCTTTGACAAAGAAAGTAAACAAGTTTATTTTACTGATCAAAGATATGACAGAATGGGTTTTGATCCATATCTCAAGAAAAGGCAAGAAAATTATGATTTTATTTATGAACCTTTAGAGAGATATCGGTATGATGCATCACTGAGATCAGATGGTTATATGAGACGAATGGATAAATATCAAGAGAGTTATAAAAGGGGAGGTGAAAGGATAATTCAACGAGATGAATTATGTAATAATGATAGTTTAAGAACCAAAGAAACAAATTTTGGATTAAGTGAAACAGTTATTTTTGTAAGAAATCTTCCATTTAGTATGGATAGTTTTGAATTAAAACAACTATTTGAGCCATGTCATTCTATTGATGCAAGCGTTGTTTATGACAGAGATACAAACAAAAGTAAAGGATATGGTTTTGTTGTCTTTGATAATTCAGTTGATCAACACACAGCTATAGAACAGTTTAATAATTATCTTGTAGATGGTAGAAAAATAATGGTGTTTAAGGCATCTCTTCTTCAAGAAGAAAGAACAAAAGCAATGAGATAACTTCTCAAATAAAGAAGAAGTATCTTTTATTTTACAACAAAAAAAATATTATTTGTTATTCATTCAACAAGAAAGGATTCAGAAAAATTAAAATAACTGTTTATGTCATCAATAAGGTCTTCTTTTATTGTTATAAAAACAAAACAAAGAAAAAGACTAATCTTTATCGAATCTATTACCTGAAAACTAAACTCTTTTTATTTTTTCTCATCAAGGAATAATAAAAAAAAAGAAGAATTATGTTTTGTTGAAAGGTATATTTTTTATTTTGTTGAAAAAATACATCATTTTTTTGTTTCTCATTCAGTTGATAAAAATAAAATATCACTAAAATTATGAATCATCTAAAGTTAGAATAACAGAAATCAATAGAAAAAGAATTAAAGAGAAATTTTTGTATCTTTTCCAAGAAGGTTAAAAAAAGGAAACTAGAAAAGCGAAATTAGAATCAGTGGTAATGGGGGAAATGAAGCTTATGAATGGTAGTGTTATATACCTTGTTTGTTTTATTTTTATTGACTAAGTTGTTGTATTAATTTCTCAACTTCTTTAATAGATTTCTCATTTTTTATATTAAATTGGTCAATATAAATTCTTTTTAAAAAAGACCTTTTGTTTATTTGCAAGTACATCTCTTCATTAGTTAAAACAAAAAATAACTTATAGATAACAGCGACAACATTAATAATTGTTTTGTCTTATATTTTTGGAGATATTTCTGATTTAATTATCTATGATGGTCAACAATTTCTGTTTTTATGGCAGTTATTAGGACTTTCTCTTTCTGTCACATTTCATATCTTCGAGGCTATATCTCTTTGTATTATTATTATTATCACACATCACTTCCTTCAGTCTCAAAGAAGAAAATTTGTTTTTGGTATTTTTCTTATATCAACGTCAGCAGTCTTAACAGCTATTACACTATGTACAGGGATAAATGGAAGTATAGAGTCTATTGATTGGAAATTATTAGACCATTCTCAAAAATTAAGTGTAGAGCGACAAGTTTGTTTGATTTTAAAATATAATGTTAAGTATTTGTTTTTATCTATATGTCTTATAATCCATACTTTATATTAACAAGTTTTAGGGACAATGTTGTTTTAACTCAATCACTTTTGATAGTGAAGGGGAGTGTGGGTGTATTTTGGATGACCAAACTCAATGTACCAAATGTAATTTTGAAGGAGGAAGAAAGTGTTTATGGATATCAATTCTAATTGATTCTATAACAGTTATTCTGCTTTTGTCGATGGCTCTTTTGTCTTTGCTTCACAGACAAATTAATGATATTGTTAATAAAAATACTGTTGGATATGACCAACTGACTGAATAATAAATTATTTTTAATATCCTTCTTTAATTTAAGTTATATATAACATAAATATATTTAATAATAATTTCTAATAAAATAATTTTTAGTTAATCGGGTATTATTTTTTTAAAGGAACTTCAGTGTTTAGTTAAATAAAAGATGATTCGACCAGCACATAAATCACTAAGAACACGCTCTCAAATTATTGGTAAAAAGGAAATAAGGTTGTTGGTAGTTGGAAGTTCTGGAGTAGGAAAGACAACACTCTGTGATTGTTTTTTTGAAAGTCATCAAAGCCAAGGAGAAGAAACAGTTTGTTAGTTTTTATTTATATTGTTTAGTTTTATTTAAATGGTGTAATAAAGTAGAGAGAAAAACATGTTCAAATTGATAATGATTTTATTAGAATTTCTATTAGTGATATTGTTGGTAAACAATCGTTTTATGCATGTGATAATCCATATGATGGATATGACGTTATATTAGTAATGTACGATATAACTGAGTTAAAATCTTTTACTGATTTAAAAACAATGTGGTTACCAGATATATTTTTATATTGTAATATTGATACACAAATTATTATTATAGGAAATAAAAAGGATCAAGAGATTGATCGTATTGTCACACGAAAAGAAGCAGAACAATTTGCACAAGATAGACTTTGTCAATTTTATGAGATTTCAACGAAAGATGATTCTTGTCAATTATTATTTGATTGTATTTCAAGAGATTTTTTACAGTGGTTTGTCTTATACACAATAAATTAATCAACTACATAATATTTATTATATTAGTGATATTAAAATTAGAATGTTAATGGTAGGAGATCAAAATGTTGGAAAAACTACATTTATTAGAAAGTTTACAATGCAAGACCCCACAGGGCATGATTTTATGAGTGCAGTTTGTTTAATAAGATATTTTTAAACAACAAAAAATATTCATCTTATAGATAACAACTCGGTTTGAAATGGAAAAGATTAAATATGAAATTATCATGATTGATTGGGGATTTTATAATAAATTATTACAAACAAATCCAGCAATTAGTAGAACAATTGAGGCAATATTAATTGTTTATGATATTACAAATGAAGAATCATTTCAAAATATCCATAGAAAATATTATCCTTTAATTAATAATAAATTTAGTGATGTATCTGGTGTTATTGTAGGATATAAAACAGATCTAGAAGCTCAAAGAAAAATTACAATGGATGATGCATTAACTTTAGCTGATTGGTTAGGCTATAAATATGTTGAAATGTCTTCAAAAGATACAGAAGATCATTCATCAATAATTAAAGCATTAGCCCATTCAATAAGAATCAACCGTTTAAAGATTGAACAATCATATGAATAAAAATAATTATTTTTTTATTGTTCTTATAAATTTTCTCTATTTTATTAAAAAATAAAATAAATTAGACTCTTTCTTAAAAGTATTATTACTCTCTATTCTTCTTAATTTACTTCTCTTATTTCTTTTCATCTTTTCTGTCTATTGACTATTTTAAATTTTATTTCCTCTTTTGATATTTAAACAATAAAATCAAAAGAATTTTCAAAAAAAAAGATATCATTACGACATAAAATCTATTTTCAAAAAAAAAAAAGATTCTCTTATCTATTCTAACTTCATTCTATTAATAAAATAATTCATAATAAATTCAAAATAAATTGTATTAAAAAAATTACTGTAACACTAATCACCAGAAATTTAATTAATTTAATCATTAATACCTTTTAAAAAAAATATTTAAAATTTAAAAGAAAAGAATAGAATTAAAGTTGTAATCAATATCATATAATTAACTCTATTATATTATATTAAAATTGACTCTTTATCAAAATATAAACCAAAGAATGTAAAGTAAAATATATTAATATTATTGTTATTGTGTTTATAAGAAGAAGTATTTTTTTGTTTAATATTCATTAAATTTTATTCTTATTTTAAATAAGTTTTTTAGTTTTTATTAAAAAACAATTTTGTAATTTTAAGAGTATTAGAATTAAAGGAGAGAGTTAATGAATGATTTGTTCAATTTGTGGTAATAAGCAATTTGCAATCAATGTATGAGCTATGTAAGTTGGGTGTCTTCTAAATCCCCAACACTCTTTTTTATTTTCATCATAACATAATTGACAATTAACTTCAAAAACTCTTCCTGGTTCTTTTTGTTGTAATGCCTTTAATGCCATTTTCCAAGCAATTTCACCTTCTCTAGCAAGAAGAGGACCAATCACAATAATAATTTTAGCCTTTTTATAAGTTGTTAATATATGACTAATAAATTCTTCACATCGTTGTTCAAATACTTCATCTAATTCACTCTCATCATTTGCAATAAAATCATCTAAAATTGTTTGTTTTTGTTCATGATTTTCATTCCATTCTTGTAATAGTCTTTTAATTATATGATTTTCTTTTTCTTTATTTTCAACAAGAATGTTTTGAATTTCTTCTGCTTCATGTGGTGAAACAACTCTACCTAATTTGGATGGTGATACTAATTTCTCTTTTTTTGTTTTATTATTCTTTATTTCTTCTTCTATTTCAGTGTCACTCTTTGAAATATCATTTGAACTTGAATCTGAAGATAAACAAGCTTGTAAAGATTCCTTTTCTCTTATCTCTTGAATTATTTCTTCTTCTTTTTGAACAAAAGCTGTTGGAATATCATTTCTTGATGGATTAGATGCTCCAACATCCCAAAAATCATTACTTCCAATATTGATCATAACATAATCTGGAATCCATTCTGTAAAGTCCCACTTAGACTTATTTTCTCCAGCGTTTCTTCTTCTCCAAAGTTTATCAATATTTTTTTTGTCATTTGGAAATTCAACTTCATCACAATTTCTTACTACTCCAATACCACTCCATGCAACCATATGACTTTCCAAATTCAATTTTCTTACAATCTGAGAACACCATGCCTCTGAAGAGTCAGATTGAAGTGGAACACTATCACATTGTGGAAGAGGAAACATTCCATAACCACAACATAATGAATCTCCAATAATTTCTATTTTTTTTCGGGGTTGAATATCAAACTGTTCCATTCGTCTATTTGCTCCATAAAAACAAATTGCACCATCTCTTGCTTCACTTATTTTAATTAAAGAAACCTTTTGTGCAATTGGTTTTTTATTTACCATTGTTATTGTAAAATAATTACTTTCAATAACAAAAGTATTAAACTCAAGTTCTTTTGGTAATCCATGGAATGGTGGTATTCTTCTTATTAATGGAAGCTCAGATGCTACAAATTTCAATAAACAAGTTCCTACACACCTCATATAGAAAGTTGTACTACCACAAGGAAGCATAAAGTTTAACGAAGTATTTGGCCAATCAAAGAAAACAAGAGATTTTTCTTTTTCAATTCTTCCTTCAAAAAAAATATTTTGATGAGTAAGTCCTTGTGGAATATCAAGAGTGTTGTATTGTTGAAGAGAGATTTCCATTTGTTCTTTAGTTTATTGGATCTCTTTCTGCTTTTTTATTTTGAGTCATGAAAGGTTTTTTCGTTACTCCTCATCATCAATCATGAAAAACTTTCTTTGTTATATATTTCTTTTTCTTAAGAAATGAGAGAATTGCTGTAGAAATATTTTAATATAACTTTTGTTATTATGTGATAGATAAAAAAAGGTTAGTTAGTTACTTTAGAAATAAGTTAATTTTATAAAAATTTAAGTATAATCTTCTTTTCTTCTCTTTCATAATGACTTTTCTATCTTACAAAACTTAAAAGAAAAGTTACAAAAATAAAAGAGAAAGTGAAAATAATGAAATTAAATGCTCAATCAGGCATAATACCAACTGTTTACTATAAATTGGATTTTCATTGAAATGAAAAAAGAAGAACTTTAAACAGTAATTGTTTTTGAAACTAGGAAGGAAGGTTTAACCAAAGCTCGTGGAGCTAAATTTAAATCCCATATCTGACTCTTTTTTTCAACTTCAGTTTCTTTTTCTATGGATTTACTAACTGTTTGACCAGTAAAACAAACTGAAGTAACTCTTTTATGAGGAGAATTCAGTGAGGAGCCAGGATTATTAAGCCCAGAAAGACTTTGGAATGATGGTACGTTTAACCCTTCTTTACTAACACTTCTAGCAAAAGTTGGACTTTCATTTGACCCTCTCTTTTTAGATTGACTTTGGGCTCTACTTCGAAACAAACCAAATGCTTTTGCATGTTCTTTTTCTTTAGTTTGAGACTTTGTTTGTTCTTCAAGTTGTTTATTTTCAATATATTGAATAATTGGATCTATATCAACTTGAGTTATGCCACTTAATGGTGTATATCCTTCAATAGAAATATTAATTTGTTTCATTGCATCTTCTGGTAAATGACGGATTAATGCAGCAATACATGATTTAGCTACATTAGTCTTTGTTAGTGCACTAAAAGGATCGATATTGTCATTAATTAACATACAAGCACTAAATACCATTGCTAAATTATCAATTCCCATTTTTGTTTTTTCTTCATATGAAGAAATACGTTGAAGGAAATTAATAATAAATATTGTCATTGCTTTGTTGATAGGTGGTAAACAGTCTAATAAAGGTTGAATTTTTGATACATCATTCTCAATATCATCTACTGTTTGTTCATCAACAAATTTATCATAACAATTTAATGGAATAACAGGACTAGGTAATTCTCTAACAAAAGATTTAAATAATCCAGCAATTGTATGACAACTACATTCTTTATATATTTCATATTTTCCTTGATTAAATAACTCTTTATAACCATCTATTTCTTCTTGTTTACCTGGAATTCTAAAAATTCCTTCTGTAGTTTCACCTTTTAATGCTATAACTGTATCTCTCATTAAAAGGAAAATTATTGGAACTGATACATCAGGATATTTCTCTTTTTGGTATGACATCACTGTTTCCAAGCTGACTCCAAACACAGGTTGATTGATTTCAAACATGTTCATCTTTTTAAATTATAATTTTTTAAGTTCCTTAAAAAATAAAATTAGTTCTTCTTAAAAAAAATTAATAGAAAAATTAATTGAATGATAATTAAATATTAATTAAAATCAGAAATTTATGGTACAAATTGAAACTACCAAATAATAACTATACTATTAGAGACAATTTATAATCAATTTAAATTAGAAGAGAAGCAATAAGCGTGAGAAATGTTTATTCTAAATAAAATAATTTATGAACTTTATATTTATCTTCAAGGAGATAACTTCTCTTTTACTCAAAAGATTCTTTTTGGATTTCAAGTAACTATAAATAAGTCTTTACAAAAACGATACATTAAATACCTATTAAAAGTTTTTAACAAATAAAAGTAGTTTTATTTAAGAGGTGAATTGAACTTCTTTTATTTTAAAACTAAAAATGAACGTAGTGTTAAATTTAATAATATAAATAAGAAAGATAATTTATATAAGAATCATATAAAGCTAAAAGTCTATTTATTTCACTTTCTTTAATTCTTTTCATCAATACTTATCGAAGAAGAAGGATAAATTCCAACAATTAACCTTAAACTAAATCTTAGAGATAAGACAAAACAACATATGGCATGTGCTCCAACAAAACATGCAATAACAATAAGCCATTTAACTTGAAAATCAATAAAGTTAGTTGGACAAATTTCACGATCATCTTCATAATTCTCTTTTCTATCTATTTGAGCTTCAGCAGATTCATAATCAAATTTTCTGTTTTGTATTGCATTTTTATTTAAACTATCTAATGTGTTTTTAACTTCTTTGTTTTGTTCAATAATAACAATTGAATCAAAAAACTAATATTTGTTATTTTTATTTTTTTATATTATAAGAGATTAAAGAACAAAAACAAACTTGTGTAGTTGGTTCAACTCTCTCTAAAGAACATTGAAATTGAGAATGATTCATCAATAATACGCTTTGAATAAATAAAACAATAGCAAGTAATGTGAATAAAATAGCAGCAATTGAGCATATAAGTGTCCAGATTTTGATTATTAATCTATCTTGTCTTTTCATAATGAAAAAGATCATAACCAATATAATAAAGAAACAACTCCCTATTACACTTAGAAATACTAAGATTGAAGGGAATGAAATTATTTCTTGACTGTTTGTTAAGATTTTGATAAAAACAAATCCTCCAATTGAGATAGTTGATATTATTATTGGGAAAAAGCCAAATATTTGTAAATTACTTTTTGATTCTCTTCCTTTTGACATGAGAATGAAACTAACAACTGAAATAGGTTGTTTTTACAGTTCTTTATATGAATGATTGGTAAGTAATATGTAAAGAAATGAAAATGATTCAAAAACATGTTATTCCATGGTATCTTTTATTAAAAATTATATTTTTTTATATAATTTTTTTCAGTAAATGAAGTACAAAATTCTTGTTTTTGATGTTATTTTCTTATCTCAAAAGAAATACTTTAGTTGTAAGTAAATTTCATTTGAAGTGTGTTGTAGATAGTTTTTATTAAATCATTTTTTAATGTTACTCATTTGTATTATAGAAGTGTTGTGATCCTTAAATAATTTTTAATTTTTATGTTTATTTAATTAATGTTTCTTTATTGAAACAATTGTGAAGTTGATAGATATAATTTTAATAATCGCAGATTTAAATAATCACTGAGAACAGAAAAAGGGATGTAACATATACAATCAAAAACTAATTCGTTCAATCTGATACGTTCCAACTCAAAAACAATTGTTTCATAACAAGAACATTCTTTTTCTCTCTCAAAAAAGGAAGAAATTGCTTTTTAAATTTAAAACAGGGTACAAAAAAAAAATTAACAATAACCCCTTCGTAGTAATATCTCCTCAAATATAACTATTTCAAATTTAAGTTTATAATATTTTGTTACTTACTTTATATGTTTTGAAAATTAAAATAAATGGAATAAAAGTGTCATTTATTTGTTGGATATTAATCACATAATATATCATTAAAATAACTATTTTATTTGTTTTATTTATTATTTATGTTTTCTTCTTATTTTATGAATAAATCATTTTATTTCATTTCTTTTATTGTCTTTTCATACTTATTTCCGTTTATTTCTTCTTTTTATCTTCTTCTTTGTTGTTTATTTTAACTTTAATGAATATCATTTCTTTAATAACTGAAACAAAGCAAATAAAAATTCAATTAATACTTAATCAATTCAAAACAAGAAGGAATAGGAGTGTCATTTTTATCAATTTGACTCAATACTGATTTATCAATAATTTCATTATTTAAATTATCAGGTTTAAATCGAGAAAGTAGAGCATAAATTATACTTCCACTTAAATGAGGAAGGGTTTGATGGATTTCTTTAACATTAAAATGTTCATTAGAATGATCTAAAACTAATAAGCCACTTGTTTCAATAGCTAATTGAAGATAATCCCTAAGATAAGATATGTCTCTATTTTCACATAACTCTGCCTCCATTATACTAAAGAAGAATTTAAGTTGAAGTCCTTTAGAACAATTAATATATTTATCATTTTGAATTAAAGTATTAATAACAAAATAACTCATATAAGTAATGATTTGAATCATTATTTGTTTCTGCGTAATATCATTAGTATTATTCTTTTTTAATATTTTATTAATTTCTTTTAAATAACTTACTGTATAATTTGCTGTTAATTGTTCAAACTCAGCAGCTCTTCTTCTTTCAAAACATTGGTTATCTTTAATCATCAATTCAATAAATCCATTAAGTTTACTTGAAGCAATTTGAATACATTTAATGAAGAATTTATATTGAATATTCATTAACTGATTCTTTAATGTATTATTTCTTTCAACATACTCAGTTTTTTCACTTTGAGTAACTTCAATAATACTATTAAGTAAATAAACAGCACTTTCTAAATCACATTCTCCAAAATTTTTAATAATTTCAAATTCTTGTATTTCTTTTGTTTCTCCTTCATTAATATATTTCTTTAGTATTAATCCAAAAACTGGTTTATTATTTTCGTTGTATTTCATTTCACTTTTTTCATAATCTTCCACAATTTTTATTTCTTTTTCTTGTTTATCTTCAATTTTTTCTTTTAATACTATTTCTTCTTTATTTTCTTTCTTCAAATTTTCAATTTCACATTTTAATTCAGTAATTTCTTTTTCTTTATCATTTTTTATTAATTCAATTTTCTTTTCATTTTCTTCTTCTTGTTTCTTTTGAATTTCTTCAAATTCTTTAATTTTATTATTTAAATTATTAACTTCTTTTGAATATTTTTCTTCAATAACTTTATTTTTTTCTCGTTCTTCATTAATTCCTTGTGTTAATTCTTCAATTCTCTCAGTTAATACAACTGATGTTTTAATATCGTCTCCTTTATTATTTTCAAATTCTTCAATTCTTTTCTTTAATATTTCATTTTGTGTTATTACTTGCTTAATTTCTTCTTCTTTCTCATTATTCTTTTTTATTAATTCTTCCTTTTCTTCTTTTATATTTTCAATATCTTTCTTTTGTTGTTCAATAATTACAATATTTTCATTATATTTCTTATTACTTTCTTCAACTTCTTTTTGTTGTTTTTCAATTTTTTCTTTAATTTCCTTATTTATTTTCTTTAATTCTTCAATTTCTTTATTTAAATTATCCTACATTTGTTATTTATCTTTCATAACTAAAAGTGTTTTTAAATTTTGAGTGTAATATAATAAAAACTTTTAAATAACTTCTTCAAATATTTACACTCAAAATATATATATAATAACAATATATGTTTATTGTATTTATTTAATAAATAAATACAATATCACCCACTATCTGTATAAAACCACTACTTAAAGATACCTCATCACTACTTTTTTCTTTTTCATTTAAACAATTTTTACTTGTTTAAATAAATTAAACTCACATCACCACCTCAATAATATAAAATATTTCTCTCTCTCACCCTCATTTTTAAATAGAAATAATTATTTAAACTCACAACTCTCATAATATTATATATCCTCACAAATATACTCACATTACACTCACATTAAATAAAATAATAAATAAACAAACTTTTTCGTTTTTAACTTGTTCGATTTCTGCATTCTTCTGATTTAAAATTTGTTCAGAACCTGCAGCTGCATTCTTTTCTGTTTCTTCAATTTTTTTCTTTAATTCTTCTTTTTCTTGTTCATCTCTCTTCTTTTGTTCTGTAATTTCATTTTCTTTCTTTTCTACTTCAGCTTTTAATCCTACTACAACAGCTTCAGATGCTGCTAATGCAACTTTAATATTACTCTTTTCTTTTTGTTCTTCTTCTAATTGTTTCTTTAATTCTTCTTTTTTATTTTCTTCTTCTTTCTTTTCTTTCTTTAATTCTTCAAGTTGTTGTTCAACTTGTTTCTTTTCTTCTTCTCTTTCAATCTTATTCTTTTCAATTACTTCAGAAAGTTGTTTTCCATTACTTTCTGCATTTGCTAAAGAAACTTTTAATGTTTCTTTCTCTTTAACTTCTTCTTCTAAAGAAGAAATTTTCTTATTTAATTCATCTATTTGATTTTCTTTTTCTTTTATAGCATTTTCCTAATAAAAATGAGTTACTTCCAAACTATTTTATCTTTTTTTATTGAATTGATGTGAGTGAACACAAACTTGTTTATTCAACTTATTTTTACTAAGTTGAATAAAAAGAATTGAGATTATAGAAATTAAAAGAGATTATTATTTATATGAGAGTGTAGAAGGAGAGTTATATTATGAAGTGGTGATGGAGAAATAAAAACAAACCTTTTGTTGAGTTAAAGACTCAGTAGTATTTTTAAGTTGATTTTGTAAATCATCCCTAATCTTATGATACTTTTCTTTTTTCATTTTTAAAGCTTCACGAACAGCTTTTTCACACGCCTTATCTAAATCTTCTTGTGTAAATTTCTTTTTTGTATCTTTTTCTTTTTTTCCTTTGATTTTAACAGAAGAACTTGCTGCAGCAAACATATCAGCTTCTCTAATTTGTTGCTGTTGTTCTTGAAGTTTCTTTTGACGCTCTGCTTCTTCTCGTTCAGCAATTTCTTTTTGTTTTCTTTGTTTTTCTTCAAGTTCTTCTTCTTTTTCATCTTCCTCTTGCTTTTTACTAACTTGTTGAACAAGAAGTTCATGAATATCTGTAGTTGCAGATGCTTTCATTTGTAATACTTCTGTTTCATCGGAACTACCACCAGCCTCACCAAGAAGAGAAGAAATAGACATTTCAACAATGGCTGGATTTTTACCAATAAGTTTAACAGAAAGATCTTTTGAAGCACCATTAAGGTCTGCGTACTTAGCTAAATCAATAAATCCTTCACAAAGTTCTTTAGTTTTCTTTCCAGTTGTATGAAGAGAAATTTCAAGTCCTTTTTCATCATAACCATTTTTTGTTAAAAATAATGTACAATGAATATGAACAACTTGGACTGGTGAATAAATAATTTCACCATTATGAACTAATGCCTTTTCTATTGTTCCTTTATTTTCTTTTTTATCCCCTCTTCTCCATTTTAAAACAACTTCAATATTGTCCCCAATATCTAGTCCTTTAATATGTTTAAATTCAATGGTATAGTCTTGTTTAATATTCTTCTTTAATAATGATTTCATTCTTTATTCCTTTTTTAATTTCAAGATCTCTTCTTCTATTCTGTATTACGTAAATATGACTCAACATTCCTTAACTTCTTTTAATCATATTCGTTTCATTTATATTTTTTATTTAACAAAATTTTTGACTTTCTTTTCTTTTCTTCAAAATAAAAATTACATTTTAAATAAAATTTTTCTTATTTTATTTTGTTATTTTTTTCTCTTTTTCTTTTCCTAATAAAAAAAAAAGATGAAAAGGCAGGATTTGTCTCACTTGAACGAGAAATAATAAAAACCGATTCTATTAACATTTAATTAAGTGCTTATTTTATTATCATTTTCCTTAATACAAAATTAACCATTTATTAAAATAACAAAAAAATAAATCTACGTGAATGATTAGCAAAAAATTTGGACATTTTTATTTATTAATTAGTACTTGGTTCTTTTGGTTCTGTTTTTTTATCAGCTTCATTTCTTACTTTTCTATTTAGTTCTGTTTTAGGAACACCTTTTACATATTCATCCATTTTGTTCACAATTTCTTTTTCCCTCTTCATACTCATATATTTTTCTTCCATACTACTTAATGTCTTCTTATTATCATTCCAAATAGTTTGCATAATTTTTATATAGTTTTGTGGAACATCTTGGCTCATAGCCTTTTCAAAAACAGTACAAAATTCTTTTGCATCCAAAGTAGTCCAATAAATTGTTTTAGTAAGACTACCATTGGGTTTATTACCTTCAAAAATTAAGAAGTTATATCCACCTTTTTTTATCTGCTTACAACTTGTCTCACCATAAAATATTGTCAAATGGTCTATCTCATTTTCGGTTTTCCAAATCAACTTAAATAAAATAGGAGATAATTCAACCAAGAAAAGCATTCCTAATTCTTCTGAGGACACACATTTTCCATCAACTATATTTGATTTACCACATCTAATAGTGCTTAAATTCTTTTGTTTAGAAATAATTGGTACTGGAATCATTGAAACTGTATCATTCGTCATATGTGTAATTACTTTACATGAAATAAATTTGCCAGCTTTACTTTCACACGGAACTTGTCCAGCTCTCATATGAGGTAATTGTTTTAATACTTTACGACGAGGCAAAATGATAATGCCTTCAGACATTCTCATCATTAAACGCTCATAAGGATTTGTTTTTGTTAAATCGTTTTCAGTTACTCCCCACCCACGGCTTTGTCGTTTAACCAAAGAACGAACTAAGGAACGGGTATGGCTTAATGGATTTAATACATCTCCTAATAAAACAAATTGAACATGATAACTACGTAATGTTTGAAGTTCTGTTTGTCTTAAAACTACATCAGACAAAGCTTCTTCAGAAGTAATAAATGAAACAATATGGACTGAGTGACAGTGTTGTTGTTTTGAAATGAATAATGATTTTCTTAAACAACGTAGGTGATGAGGTTGTTCTGAAGTTGGCTTAATGTTATATAAAGAATCAATAGCACTAAAATCATTTGTTGGAGCAATGTACATTGTTGAAAGTTTGTCTGATAAAACTACAGCATAAGAATTAAAATAATTAGCTTTTAATATTTCATGAATGAGTTCAATAATGTGACTTCTTCTATTAGGAAAGTAATCTTCATTGTATAAACTACTAACATTTTCGATATTGAAAATACAGAAGTTCATAATGAATTAAAAAGAGTTTCCGTTTCTTCTTTTTTCTTTTTTTAACTTCTCTTTTATTTACAAACTTTCTTTTATTCCCAAAAATCATAAAAGATTAAACCTTTTTTTACATTTCTTTTTATTTTTGTTATTTCTTTATTTTCAAAGTGTTTTATTTAAGATGTTTCTCTTTTATATTTCTTGGTTTATGGTTCTTTTCTTGATTTCTATTCTTCTATTTTTATTTTTGTGTCATCATAATTTCCATTCATTTCATATAATTAAAATTTATTTTTTAAATACCATTCTTTATCTAAAAATAAAAAATCTATTTCTACAATTATTCAATATAAAAAAACAAAAACAAAAATTGTTGTATATAACAAAATAATAAAAGTGTTATTATAAGTAATAATAAAAATGCAAAAGAACTTGAAAAAAAATGAGGAATCTACTTTTAAAAAGAACAAGTTGAATGGACAAGAAGATAGATAAAGAAAGGGAGAGATTTGAGAAAGAGAAGAAAGAATGGGCAGAAAAAGAAAAGAAATACACTGAACAAATTGCTACTTTAAAAAAAGGTAAAAAAACATCTTTTTTTGGAAAGAAAGATGAAGCACAACAAGAAGCTGAACGTTCACAATTAATTAATGAAATTCAAGAACAAATGGCTGAAGAATATAGTACAAAATTTGCTACAATGAAAGAAAATACAAAAATGTTGTTAGAGCAAAACAATCAATTAGAAGAAGAAATTAAAAAGAAGGACCAATTAATTGATGACCTTCAAAAAAGTTTAAGTACATCAGGAGTGAATTGGGATGCAGTAAAAAACAATTTAGAAAAAAAAATAGAAGAAACAAAAGAAAATATCACAAAGAAATCTCTCGAAGAAGTCAAAAAAGATAATAAAGATCCATTATCAGGAGAAATAAGTTCAGAGGCATCAACAATGATACAAAATTTACAAATAATAATACCCGAACTAATAAAAGAAATTAGAGATGAATTAATAAAAATAATAGATTGTGGAGGTAATGAAATAAATGAACAGTCAAAAGTTTCAGAATTAATGGAACGAATAGTCAAATTAGAGAATGAACGGGTTGGGAAAATATTTATAGAAAAAGAGAAATATGATGAAATGCAACAAAGTATTCAAGCAAGTACAGAGAAAGAAAAATATTATAAAGAAGCAAATGAAAAACTTGAAAAAACATTAAAAGAAAAAGAAGAAACATTCAAAATAAATTTTGATAATAAAATTCAACAAATTAAAGAAGAAACTGAAAAGAATGTTAGAAGTCAAGTTGAAAAAGAATGGAAAAATGAAAATGAAGAATTAAAACAAAAAGAAATTACATTAAGAGAATTATTAGAAAAATCAACAGAAACATTAGAAAAAGAAAGAACACAATTACAAAATGATAATGCAGCAATAAATAATGCAAAAGTTGAGTTACAAGTTAAAGTAAGTGATATGACTAATGAAATAAGTGAATTAAAAACATATATTGAAGAACTAGAAACAGGAAAGAAAATGTCAACGAATATAGAAAATGAGATGAATGAAATTAAAACTACAAATTGTAATTTAGAAATGAGATTTGAAGAACTTCAATGTGAAAATGATTTTTTAAAAGGAAGTAATGAAGAAAATAAATTAAAAATTAGAGAATTACAAAATAAATTAGATGAAGTTATGGTTCAACGAGAACAATATGAAAAAGAAAAAGAAGAAATCATTCAAAAAATGAATCTAAATAAAAAAGATGAAAAAAAAACTGAAGAAGAAAAGGGTCAATTAAATGAAGTTATTGAAGAATTAAAAAAAGAAATAAATAAAATAAAAGAACAACAAGAAGATGAAAAAAAGAAATATGAAGATGAAATTGAAGAACAAAAGAAGAATATAAAAATACAAGAAGAAAACATTAAAGAAAAAGAAGATGAAATTGAAAATTTAAAAATGAAAATGAAACAAAGTGAAGAAATTATGCAACAAAGAATTTATGAAATGAAAAGTAATAAAAATGCAAGCCTTGGAAAATTACAATTAGAAGTTACTAAATTACAAAATGAATTAGAAAAGTCTAAAAAAGAAATAATTGAAATAACTGAAATGAATAATAAATATTCAGTTCTTCTTGCTGCAGCAAGAGCTGCTGAAGAAAGAAATAAAAAAGAAAAAGAAGATCAGAAAAAAAGAATTAATCAAATTGAATCATTTTCTTCACCAATGAAAAAGAAGTCAACAAGTTTTATTGGTGAAGAACAAGTTAAATTATTAGGAGATAAAATTGGAGAATTACAATTAGAAAAATCAAAATATTTAGAAGACATTGAAACATTAGAAAAGAGTGTTATGTTAAAAGAACAAGAATTACAAATTTGGAAAAGTGAAATAATCAATACATATTTAAAAAATGTCTTTGGAAAAAGTATTGGAAAAAAAGGAGTTAAAGAAGTTGTTGAACAAGTACAAAATGTTTTACAAGATGTTGTTACTCAAAATATTCATTTACAACAAGAAGTTGACCAACTTCATTCTGAAATTATTCAGTTGAAACAAAAACAATAAAAAAAAAACCATTTTAATAAGAAATAAATTTTATAAAAAAATGATTTCTTTTAATTCAATTCTTTTTGAAAGGTTTTAATTAATTGATTTACTATCTCTACACTATCTTTAATAATGAATGCCTCTTTTTTTACTTCTTTAATGTAAGTAGATAATTCTTTTGAAGTTGAAAGATTACTAGAAAGGTATTTGATTAATTCAATTCTGTCATAATTAAATGAAGGGAGTTCAGGTTCAAAAATTTGTGATGTATGAGTTATTTCATTTAAATAATTGAAGATAGAAGGATTAAATAGAACATCACATAATTCAGTCACCGATGTTTTATTACAATTATCTGAATAAGAAGAGATAAATAAACTTAAAAGATAATAAAGCAGATGATATGGGTCATACGATGTTAAGAATGCATTATTGAAAGCATTTGTAATACAAATACCTTTTTCTATGTCTTCTAATAGAAGAGATATAATTGATAGTATTGATTGGTTAATTGGGAAGTGTTTGAAATAATATTGCATTTCATGTTCATTTAAAGAAATTGAATCAATTTGGGAGTAGTCAATACAATTAAGTCTTAAAAGAATACTTGTACTAAGTGAATGAAGTAAAGGCTCTTTTTCAATAAAGGTATGGAGTTGATTAATCAATTGAGAAGTATTTTTGATATATTGATTTATTGGCACATTTTGGTTATAATCCATTACGGAAATCATTGCCTTTAGAACATGAAATACATGTGGCGCTTCTTTAAATAATAATGTAAATGTTGATTCAAAGAATTGTTGAGGATCTACTCCTTTAGGATTCTCTTCACATCTAAGTAAGGCAGCTTCTCTTACAATAATTTGATCTGATTTTAAGAGTTGAGGAAGTTGATTAGAATCATTTGCATGATATCTGGCTATTAATTTTATGCATTTTAATGTATAAGCATCATTAAAAGAATAATGGAATTGATGCAATTGTGGAAGTTTAATATTAAGAGATTGAAGTAAATTTAAATATTGATAAGCTTCAAATGAATTTATTGGTTTAAATGAAGTTAAATGACTTATTTGACCACTAGAAAGAACCGAACCATTATCGACATATTCTTTAACTATTCTTAAAATAGTTGCATTAAGAGAATTAAACAATTCTGGAATATCTTCTAATAATGCACATTTAGTAAAAGCAATTGCAAGTGCATCAATACTTGAAGCAAAAAGTTTACGGTGTGAAGCAATAAGGAGTGACTTAACTAATGACTGTTGAAGTGAAGATTTATTAATTAAATTAGTAGATGATAGTCTTGAAAGAATCATACAAACAATCATAGCACTATTTAGTCCATTTTCTAATGCTGAACTAAACTCTGAAATAGAGTTTGGAATTAAGAATAGAAGATGATTTAAGGTGAAATTTTCTTGAGTAGCAAATATTCGTTTAATGACTGTAGCAGAAAGTATTGAAGCAGAATTACGTAAAGACCAATCTATATCATCTATATATTTAAAACTGTAATTTAATGCTTTTCCTGGGAAAAACAAATCAATTTCTGCTGCAATCTTCTGAGATTTAATTAATCCTGCTAAAGTATTCATTGAGTGAATAGCGCAATTTCTATCACAATGAGTTAAAGTATTAATAACATATTCCAATAATGGTGGGGCCATTGTTGGTTGTTTAATTCTTCTACACTCTTCATTTAATAATGCAGAAAGATGATATGGTAATCCAGCAGACCTTCTGGTAAATTTAGTTTCATACCCAATTTCGTTAACTACTTTAGTCACTTGTTCTGATAACCACTCATTACTTGCATACGGTAATGCCATTTCTAAAGCACCTGCTGCACGTTCAAATATTCCTCTATGAAGTGCTGTTCTAAGAATATGGACTAATCGTTGTGATGCTTGAGTGAAATCTAAAGAAGATTGAGATGCAATTATTTCTGATGCAACACGAACACTAGTCCATCCACCAACAACCATTCCAGGAGCAGAACCCTCAGGAGCAGGAAGAGTTAGTAAATAATCACTTGAATCAATTAATTGAATTGCAAGTGTAAAACCATCTTTTTCTTTATGAAGTAATTGCAATATTCTAAATAATCCATAAACACAATCATCTTCATATGAAACACATTTGGATGGTAAAATTTTATCAATTGAATTTTTTAATTGAATAATCACAGAATGAATAGAGTCTTCAAGAGAAGAACCAGTGAATTGAATGGTATTATTTGATGTGACTATAGGATAAGGTTTAAATGAACATAAAATACTAAAAATTCTTGCAACAGCATCAGCTTCTGATGTACGTAGTGACTTAATTTTATTCCAACATTTTTGTAACTGAATTTGAAGGTATTGATAATGTATTTTAGTAAAAGGATTTAATAATGAATAAAGAGAAAAAGCAATAATTCTAAGTTTATCTGTTCTACTTAAAATACTTCTTTGTAACAATAACTGAATTTCTTCAGTTGAAAGAAAATGGGAAATGATTTGTTTAATATCATTTCTTTTATTATTTTGAATAATATTAATACATATTTGTATAATAGAACAGTCAATCTTTTCATTAAATGGATGTGCAATAAACGTACAAATAAAATTAAATAATTCTTGAATAACTTCTATTGAACATCTTAAGATAAATTTTGGGATCATTGTTGTAATGACTTGTATTTCATCTGTAGGACAATCATATAATCCTTTAATAATATCTTTTGAAGCGTTAACTTCAATTTGATGATAATTAATTCTTGTTAAATCACTATATAATGTAGTAACAATACTAAGATGAAATGATTTATTTAACGCATTTTGTAAAGAGATATTCAATTCTTTTTCTATTGAAGGAATAAATGAAATAATAGAATTCATATCATATGAATTCATTTTTAACGCTGCTGCAGTAACTAATGGAAGTTGATTTGCTGCTAATTGAATTTGATTATTAGAAGGTTTTAATGAAATAAGAATATTCATAATTTTCATTGTTGATTCATTAAATTGGTTATATTGCTTTAATTGATTAATAACATCTTCAAATGAAATTATAAATTCTTTAAGAAGATGAGACAATAAATTTAATGCAACTGTTTTATATGTTGTTTCTTCAACAGCTTTAATAACATTAAATAAAAGTTGAGGAACAATAGAAATAATAATTGTTTTAGTATTAGATGATAAAGCGTCTAATATAACATACTTTCCTTTACAATTCCAACTAATTAAATTCGAGCTAATTAATTCTTTTTTACTTTGTTCTTCATTTAAGAATTTAACAAGTCCAAAATAACCTTCTTTTAATAAAACCCATTCTTTATTATCTTGAGTTAATACTAATTCATTTCTTATTAATTGAATTAATTCATCTAAATTATCACGAATACTTTGACTCAAATTACCTTGTTTTTTAATGTATCTATTCAATGATTCTATAACTGAAGAAATAACATCAAATGATCTTTTTTTAATACATAAAATAATATTTTTCATTTCTTTCTCATTTATAATTTCTTTTTTATCACTAAGACTTGCCCGTAATACAAATGGTTCATATGTAATTTCTTTATTTAATTTTATTAATATTAAATAAATAATATGTCCATATGCATTATACGCTGGTTTACTTAATGGTAATTGAATGATTTGACGAATGCTTTGTTCTAACTTTTCTAATTGTTCATTGGAAATACAACTATTTTTCTTATTTAAATAACTCAATAACTCTTTAGAACTTTTTTCACTTGATTGAACCCAACTCAAGATTGCTTCAGGTGTTTGTGGGAGATTAAAATGAAGATGTTTGTCAATGATATTATTCATTGTTTTTATGTTTTTTTTAAAAACTTAAAAAAAAATAGGGTTTAATAATTGGAATTATGTTATTAAATAATTGAAAAATTGAAAATTGAAAAATTTCTTAATATTTTATTTAGTTCTTCAAATGTTCAACAAATCATTAATAAATATTTTTCTTTATTATAACATTCCAATTATTATTTTTGTCTTTTATTTTTGGATTATTAATGGAAGTGATAGTTGTAATATAATTCGATTTAAATATTATCCTTCTTTAATAGATAAAATACTTGATCCTCAATATTGGACTGTAATTGTTTCATTAATAATTGCATGTTTAGTGTGTATTGAATATGATAGTTTGATTATTATTTTCATTTTAATGAATTTTCATATTAACCTTAAATTAGAGCATTTTTGTATTTATTTTACTTCAATTATTGATGTTTTAAATGCATATGTCTTTCATCGTTGGAATTATTATATTATTTGTATGTTAAAAGTATCTTTAAATGATATACATTGTACTGAAATTGGAAAAATAAAATTTAATGGAATTAGTGGTCATTATTTCACTATTATTTATTTTTTTGGAATTTTTCTATATTTATTATCTTCTATACCTCATTCAAATACTTCAATATTTGTTTCATTTAAACGACATTTTTCAATTTGTTATTTTCCTTTAATTCACTACTTTTCAGGATCGAATAGATTTAATAAATATAATAAAAAACCTTCAGTTCGTATTATTTTGTGTTCTGTTGGTCTTCTTCTTTATATCATTTTTTCTTATTTATGTATGTATAATACTCTCATTTATGGTTTTCATTCTCCTCGTCAACTTCTTTATGGTATTATTGCATCATTTATTGCTCTTGTAACATACTCTTTTTTCCTTCAAATTCCTTTTATTTATCGAAGTGTTGTGAATTTTATTCTTTATACAAGTTGTTATTTCATTCTTTGTTTAGTTACAAAACAATCAGTAACTAATGACAAACTCATTTTATTCCCATTATGCTCATTAGTTATGACTCTTTTTTATTCATTTTGGACAATACCATCTAATGAAATTGAAGATTAAATTATTAACTTTTGTTCATTTTTTTAGAATAACTTACTATTAATGACTATTAATTAATTATTAGAGTCTATTTATGAAGTAATCTAAATGTTAATTATCAATATTTAATTAATATACACAAATGGTTTTAACAATCTTATAATGACAAGATACAAATGTTTAATTAATTTCTATAAACAAAACCAAAATAATACAAAATACCTTCATTATAGAAATAAGATAAATTGATTTATATAAAAAGGATTCATTATAATAGTAATATGAAAGAATAAATACAGAAATAAGCACTAAGAATACGAATGATACTCAAATAATAATTAAATTCGATAAAAAAAGTATAAAAAAGTAAATTATATTAAAACATTTTATTCTAATACTCACAATCAAATATATATTTATTATTTAAAACAGAATTACAACATTTGAATAAAAAATTAAATTAACAAAATTAACAGCTTTATTGTATGATAGAAATGTGTCTTAATTATCTAAAAAATTTCTTTTTTTTTAATTTTTATTATAACTTTTATTTCATTTTCATCAATTAATATTATTTCAATATTTTCTTTTTTGTTATTCATTATTCAATTGTTTTTTGACTCTTAACAACATCTTTTGAAACATTTTCACATATTTTACATATTGAAATTTGAATAATAATTAGTTTTAATGCTTTACAGTCATAAAAAAATCATCTCCTTATTCATTGACTAAAGTTGATAAAGTAAATGCCGAATACTCACTTAAGCGTTCTTAATTAATTATCTAATTTCTTAACATTTATTTTGATATTAAACTTGATTATATTTTGTTCATTTACCTTTTTTAAATTTTTGGGTGTATTTCAAAACTCAAAGAAGTGGTTCATTCAAAAATATTTTATGGAAGTTTCTATATTTTCTGTCTTTAATATTAATATTGGTTGGTGACGTACATTAATAAAAACAAGAATTTCCTAAATCAATTAACATCATTGGAATAATTATTGCTTTTAAAGAAATACACAAATAAAAATATCTGTATTTTTTTAGTCTTAGTTGTTGTTATATTAATTAATGATAATTTATAACAATATTTAAAATAATTCAATTCTAATTGGTTTAATATCTATTAATATTGTATTTCCATATTCTATCATATTTTGTATGTTCTACATTTTTAAATATATTTCATTCTTCTTTTTCTTTTAAATATATTGAACATTACAAATTTAAATATTCTTCCATCTTCAGATATTTCATCATTTTCATTATAAATATGAAACATTTCAATATTATAAAATAATATTCTTGCATAATGATTTAAATGAAATAGATTAAAATGAAAGTATTAATATTTCATTAAAATATTTTTAATACTAATTTCTAAATTAATACAATAATTAATATCATCAAATTACTTTAACTTAATCATTATTTCATTATATCACATTTCCATTCTTTCTTTGTCTGTATCATTTATTATGATTGTATTTCCTTCCTTTCTTCTTTTATTTTAAATCTGAATTTGAAATATTTTAAGCTAAATCAAAATTTAATACATAAGTTTTGGGTTGTTATTCAAATGAAACATTGCTATTTCTTCTCAAAAAAAACAATTTTTATCTAACTCTTTTTATAACCCTTTACTTTTTTCATGCGTACATTTCTAGTACCTTCTTTTTATATCACCTGTTTTGAACATTATTAACTCTTTGGTTTTTTTATTAACTCTTAAATAAACATTGAGATAAACTTTTATTTTCTTAAATTTTTATTTAAGTGAATTTGAGAAAAGTCTTAAAAAATTGTCTTTAACAAAAAATCTAAACCTCATTTATTTTTTCATCTCACAAAATCATTAAATTTCAATCTTATAGAACTTAGTCTAATTCAGTATCTTTGGCATACTCTATGATCAAATGCCTACCATAGAAATGACTATTTTTAAGGGCTGCCATAGCATTTGCAGCTTCTTGTTTTGTAGCGTATTCTACAAAGGCAAAACCTTTATTTTGTCCATCAACCTTCTTAGGAAGACGCACACCACGAAGAGTACCATATGTTCTAAATAATTCTCTAACTTCTTTAATATTTGTTTCAAATGGTACATTTTTAACTAACAACTTATTTGATACTTTGTGTTCTTCAATTTCTTTTCTTTCTTTATGATCTTCATCTTTGACTTTAGGCTGAGATATTTCGATCTGAACTGCATGTCCATCAATAACTTTTCCTTGTAAGGTTTTAATGGCATTGATAGCATCTTCGTGTTTAGCGTATTCAACAAAACCAAACCCGGAATTTTTCTCAACCTTCTTATCTTTTGTTTTAGACAAAGTAACTGCCAAAACTCTTCCACATTTTTCAAAGACTTTTCTAATAACATCTTCTTTTGTTTTAAAGCTAATATTTTTAACATACAATGTCTTGCTGCCTTCTTCCACAAGTTCTGTTTGGTTACTTTTAGTAGTAGTTTTATCTTCTTCTTGTTTCTTTTTGTCTTCTTCTTGTTTCTTTTTGTCTTCTTCTTGTTTTGTTTTTTCTTCTTTTTTCTTTTGACTTTCTTCTTTTTGAATTGTTTTTGATTGTTTTTCTTGTGTAAGTTTTTCTTCTTCCATCTTTTTATTAACTTTCTCTTCGTCAAAGACTTTTTCTGGAGCCCATTCGAGATATAAAGGAATACCTCTATACCTTGAATAAACCAATCTTTTGAATGCGGTTTTAGCGTCATTTGCAACTTCAAATTCTACTAATGCCAATGCCTTACTTTTTGGCATTAAAAATTGTTTTAAGGTTCCAAACTTTTCAAATAAACTTTTTACTTCCAAATCGATAGCGCTTGCTGCAATATTCTTAACAATAATAATATTATTACTACGTTTTTCTTTCATTCCATTTTCTAGAACAGTACAATTAACTCCATTTTCTTCTAACCATTTTTTTGTTTGATTAATAACATAGTTTTCTGCTAAAGCAACACGAACTGCCATTGACTCAGCATTAACATCTAAAATCTCTTCTTTTTTCATTCCTAATTCTTCTGCTACAGCACTTACCGCAGTATCTTGTCTCATATATAATGTTGACCAATTAAATTGGTTTCCTGCTTTAGCCTTTAATTCATTTTGTTTCTTTTCTTTATAATTTTTACTTTCTCCAACTTGTTGATTTGAATATGGATCAGCTTTAGCATATGTCACATGAACAATTCTTCCTTTGATAAATTTATTATCCATTTCATTACAAGCTTTTACTGCGTCTTGAGGAACAACAAACAAAACAAAACCAAATCCTTTTGACTTTTTCGTGATTTTATCAATTGGAAGATGTATTTCTGCTATATTACCAAATCGATCAAATTCTTTTCTGATGTCATCTTCTGTACAATTAAATGGAAGGTTTGTAATATAAATCCTTCCTTCTTCCCAATCTTTAACATCAATTTCATCCATACTTTTTTGATGTTCTTGTTCATTAATTATTTCTTCTTCTTCCATATGTTGATTATTTTGATCATCTTCTTCTGAATCAAATTTTTTTTTCTTACCGTTATCTAATTTAGGTCTTCTTTCGTTTGCCATTTTTTTTAATTCATCAAGACTTGAAGAATCCTTCTTCTTTTTAATTGTTTGTGTTTCATGTTTTGTAGGAATAACTTTTCTTTTTTTGTCATTAGAAAATGAAGATGATCCAACGCTATATTTTGACCAAGGTCTTTCGATAGTTTGATCTCCGATAGCCTTTGCCAATGAAACTTGTAATTTTGAAGATTGAATATAAGCACCATTCATTTTTGTTATTGCTGTTTGTGCTTGATCTTCATTTTCAAAACCAATAAAACCAAATTTACGTGAATTTCCTTGAGGAGTACGCATAACTTTACAATCAGTAATTCCACCAAATTTTTCGAATTGTTGTTTAAGAATTTTTTCGTCTGCACGTTCAGGGAGATTCTTAATAATAATACGACTCATAATTAATGGATATCAAGTTCTAATTCATAATGACTAAAACAAGGGTTTATCTTCTTTTAAAATGTTTTAAAAAATAAAATAAGAAATATAAAAAAGGTTTATTCAAAAACAGTTAAGTTTTTAAGTAATTTCATTGTGTTAAATAAGAATTTAAAGGAATTTGTTTGATGTAATAATTTTCTCTTAAAAGAAACAAATAAAGTAAACACGTAAATTAATCCAAACGTCTCAATTTAAATGTTTGATGGATAAAGGAAAACTTTAAGGTTTTGTCCCATTGCTTTTGGTGGAAGGTTATGTAAGAATCTAGCTTTAACAACTCCATGATTTCCATGTGGTGCAACAATTTTACCAAAGATAGCACGAATAGCTGGTTTATTACTTCCTTTCTTTACATTAACTTTGTAAACATAAGCAACACGTTTTCCAATATAGAATGGAGTATCTTCTTTTGTATTTACTCCACTAATTTGAAGAAGAGCAACGTTTGGGTATTGATTTCTTTGAGCACGTTGGAATCCCATAAACACAGCATTAACGTGAAGTCTGCACTTGGACATGTTTTCCTTTTTGATCAATTTTCTAGTAACCCTTTGTCTTTTTTTCAGTTCATAAAATCATTTATTTTAATTCTTTTTATTAAAATTTATAGTTTTATTATTTTTTTTTATGAAAATTATTAAAAAAATTTCAACATTTTTACAAGGAAACAATTAAACTATAAATTATTATAAAAATACTATTATTTTATTATAATCTATCCATTTATTGAGGAATGAAACTCATTAATGATAGAATGTCTCAATTTACTATTATTATAATTGACAATTATGAAGATAAACGGATTAAAACATTTTCACTTGAGAAGGCATTAAATGGAATAAAAATTGGGAGACATAAATCATGTGATATTGTTTTAAGTAGTTTAATGATAAGTAATTTTCATTGTACTATAAAGGTTCAATCAAAAGAAATGAAAAATATTATAATCTATGATACTAGTTCAAATGGTACTCAATATAAAGATGAAGACATTGGAAAAGGA